AATATTTCTCTTCCCAGTCAGAATATTTGTAGAAATAGGAATCTTCGCTTACTAACTGTGTGAATAACAGACCTTGTTTTAATTAACACAACCGTATATTGCAGCAGCCATGTATCCGGTAAATATAATTATTATAAGTATTTTTACAGGCAGCTTCAACACTACTTTTGGAAAAAACCAGCGAGGAAATTTATCGACAAAACTTTCAGCTTCTTCTCTATTTCTTGGCGCCCGTCCACCACAGCACATGATATATGTATTTGTCCTGTTGTCGGCTTTCAAAACTTCTTTTGTTTTTATGCGCCTGCAGGTCATAAAGTGGCGGTTGCCCTCAACTCTCCGTTCATTTATGGCAATACAAGAAGCAAACAGGGTAATATTGTTGATATAACAAACCACAACAGCTACTCCTGAAAAAAATAAAGGTCTACAACGATATCTATAAACATGGGGAGTACCCTAGATAATATTGGTATAACTTTTGGTCCAACCCTTTTGTATGTACATTATATTTATGCTTATTAATAAGATAATGATGTAAAAATTGTATAAACGTATCATGTACAAAATATACGATGAAAAATTATTAACTAAACTATAACATAATGCTACTATAATGTCAACGAATGGTTTTGATTAAATTTCCCTTGTAAATGAAAACATGCAATCAAAAATTTAAACATATACTAGTATTGAAAGTCTTCACACAAATACGCATAAAGTTTTCCAGCAGGGCCAGATTGTTCCCTCTGAGAACGTAAAGCTTGATAGACAGAACTAGGGCGACAACCTATCGTAAGTATGGTTCTGTCAGGCTTCGCCATCTGTCTTACTGGTCTTATAATTGCTTTGATACAGTGCTTTGATATATTTACTTCCTGGGGCAAAACAAAACCGTGAAGAATTCAAACCCGTTTTTGGAATAACATTTTAGCATCTTTCGCTTCAACAAGGCAAAATGCAGAACCTTATGCCGCTTTTGTGCCGGCTTGAGGTTAAGGTTACACTTACACTCAATTAAAACAATCATGTATTCTCTTAATCATTTAAACATTGAAGGATTTTGTTGAAACTGAGCTTAAGGTATGTTTTGTGCAGTCGAAAATTATTAAAATTCTTTTACGAAAAAAAATATGCATGCTATTTTCTTTAAACACAAAAACTTATACATGTAATCATTTTCTAAAAAGATCATAGTTTCAAAAAATGTGTGAAATTTCAAATATGTTAAGTTACAAACATTATATGTTTTAATAACAGATGTCAAATTAATAATTATGTAATCTGAAGACTAAATGTGGTGTTTCTTCTTCGTCAAATCAATTGTGCTAAAAGTTTATTATATTTAGGGGATAATGTAAATTAAGCTGTCTGTACTTATTAACTTGTTAAACCTTATGACTGATAAATTGGCCAGGTGATGATTGTTGTTGCTACGCTACATTAATTTGTATTGAAACCTGATTGGTCTTTTGTTATTAAAGAAACAGAGATGTTAAATTTGGGATTTCCAAGTTATAACATTGTGGCTTTCCACTAGAAATTTTTGTAACTGTTTTTTAATATCTAATTGTTAACGTCAGGATAACCTGTGCATATTTAATGTATCGTTTGTGATATTCTACTGAGAAAGGAGCATTAAACTTATAAAACGGAACATTGTGTTGTGACTAAATCCACCTTCAGAAGAACTCTAAATTTAGTGCATCATATAATTATGTAACGTTTTATAAAATCAAAACTGTATGGTAAAAGTATTTAATATTAAACAAAATCAACTAATATAATCTGTGAAAAAATTTTACAAAATGATAAAACGCTCCCTAGATGTAATGGAATAACTGATATTTTAGATTAGGCTGTCTTAGCAGGAAAATGTTCAAACAAGTGTTTCAAGTTAGTTTTTAACAATTTGTGCGCATTTCAAACGTTTTGAGTAACAACAATCATTTTGTCTGTGTTGTTAGTAAGCCAAATGTGTTAATGTGTGTTTATTTATTTATTATTGCAAATATTAAAAGGAAAAAAATTGTTCATTAGGCTGATATCTTAGGTTATGAAGAGTTTCCATGATATCTGAAAAAGAGTCCTTCTAATATACAAGCGTAAGTTTAATGAAAATGTAAATCTGATAGACTGAATGTCCTTCAAAGCATTTAACTAACCTTAAATAAGAAAACCAAGTTCAACGAGGAAGGGCGACATTCAATGAATGCATCATAAGTTGTAACTGGTCATAGCTACTATTAGGATGGATTGTCACACCCCCAAAAGGCAATGTGCTGTCAACTTAAGTTGAATTTATTTAAAGAGGTTAACTTTTATAAAATTGACCGAAAATTGATTGATTTTCTTCACTATTGACTCTAACATTTACATTGACAACGTGAAATGTTCAATCAAATGTAATGTAATGTACAGAACCCGCACCGTTGTTATATTGTGAAAGTCAATCAAACAGTTCTAATGTAAGAATGTTCAGACGAGAAAAAAACTGTGCTAGCTCTTAGTCAAGAGTTTCCTTATAAGTCAATCTGCACTATAACTTCTGTACTCTCTTCAAATTTCAAATCTTTACCTAAAAAATAATGATAATAGACCTATATAAAGCCTGTTAATAAGAGACAGAGGGAGTATTTTCCCCGCATGTGTTAGCTCTAATGTTGTTCAGCCTAAAACAATATACAGATTTCGGGCCAGGGTTACAATTCTCTGGTGAGTTTAAATGCTTAAAAGTGGTTCATAAAATATGATAAACAAAATTAACAAGGAAAGGCGGCGTTCAATGAACGCAAACGTAGCAGCAAGAACAGAGGGAAATACAAAAACATTAAAAATCCGGGAAAAAAAATAAACGTACGTAACATTTCTTATGTAGCTTTACTTATATAATTATGTTTCTACATGATCATAACCCCACCACCTCATTGTGTGAAAGTTTCGGGCCTGAAGCCAGTTACTTTAAACTCTTTAATTTATTTTTTACTCAATAATATTTCGTTACAGTTCATTTGTACTCCCAAAGTAAATTGTTTATTTTTTATAATTATACAAAATGACAAAGTACTTTAACAATTAAAGTTTAATCGAAACGAATTTAAAAAGGAAGCTTAAAAATGAAAACGTTTTGTCGGTATACACGGATTTGCAGCAAGAACATAGGGAAATACTCCGAAAAAAATAAACAAAAACAAACGTACGTAACATTTCTTATGTAAAATACTTTTTTTGTTTCAACATGATCATCATTTTTGTGTTTTACTAATTTCAGCTTCTGTAACCATAGCAATTGTTAGAATTTCACTTGGCAAGGATTCATTTATTTATTTACATTTTCTCGTATAAAAGGAACATGTGGGGGGCTTTGTGAGTGACGGTGAGTTTTGGTGCATTTTTAACCGTTTAAACTCCCTAGCAGTGCTTATGCTGCTTACCGCACCTCTGTGTTCCTCAGATGTATGCCTTTGTTATTTCACACTATTGTGGTATTATGGTGATATTTTTTGTGTCCCTTCTTGTTGTATTTCTCGTCTACTGTTAGTAAATTTCCTTTTCCCATTTATTTTAATTTTGCCCCCCCCCCTTCTCCGACCCTAAAGTCCCCTTCACTGACACCGCTTTACTTTTGTAGGCCTATTAATTAATCGTCTTTTTAATTTCCTTGTCGGTTACTTATTTCCTGTTATGTATTAAGTAATCACCCCCGTCCGTGCTTTGCCTTGTGCAATGTCCTACTTTCTTTGGTGTCGAGCTGGGCTCCTTGTTGGTAGTCCTATGTTGCTGGGTCGTGTGAGGATTGCGTTCATTGAACGTCGCCTTTCTTTGAAGTTTTTCATATTTTTTTTTACAATTGACAGAATAATCAATGGTAAGATTTAATACATGTAATAGTAGTTATTAATCTTGTAAAATGGAACACTGCAAGATGTATTTGTTTCTAAATGAACCTGTCGTGTTTCGGTAAGATTTTCTTAAAGAAATATCCTTCAAAAAGTGTTTAGAATGGCAAGAACTGTCCTTTGCATATTGCTTAAGAAGGGCCAATGAGATTCCCTGGCTTCAATTTGCATTTTTTAAATGACGAATAAAAAGTATTTTTTATATTCAGTTCTTTCCTGTAAATTTTACAGCAAGTTACTAGACACCTTGTGAATGTACAATGTATAAAAACTTATTATCTGAGGAGTGATTCAGAAGACGAATCTAGGTTCAATCGTGTACTTTGAACAGAAAAAAGACAGTGCTTAAAACGTTTTTTAAAGTTTGGCTTAATAATCTTAGTGTTTATTGAAAATGAGTAGTTTTCTTTTTAATAGAAGATTCTATGTTGATACCTTATATCAAACTCATAATTGACATACATCACAAACTTAAGAATAAAAATTAAAATCATAACGCCAGTTCCCTAAACGCCAGTTCCCTAAAAAGTCAAACAGATGGGTCACAAAACCTGCTAACATACAAAAGGAAGGACGACCAGGTGCATAAAATTACACGCCGAAATTCTTTTTGTACAAGTACATAGAACATCCCTCTTGTTGATATTTATTCGTTCTAATACATTTAATCATATTATACGTAGAATAGACGTTTTCTCCGGCTATTTCTTTCGACTTTTTTTTTACAAAAGTGAAAACAAAAATTTGGTTTCGTTTGTATATACAACCTACTCACTATATATTTGATAAAACATAATTTTCTAATTGACAATGTTTGCAGTTTTGATGCTACTTCCAAATGTGATCATGATAAAAATATTGTAAATCTAAAATTTTGTACATAAGTGTTTCTATTCCTTGCGTTAAATCGAAATAAATTCCTTTGCTTGATTTACAGCAGCAAAGTCTGAGTTCCACGACGTGATTCAAAGCAGCTGAAGTTTTTACATTAAGTCACTCGATTCGGTAAACAAGGGAAGCAACGAAACGCAGACGTACGATGCTGAAAACATGACAATATCACGGAACATCACTATCATACTGCACTTTCCCATGACATCATAGTGTCCCAGCAAACATACCTATATCGGGCCGATATCGGCTATATGATGGAATATCTGTGTCGGCTACCATATATCGGACCGATGTCTATCCGATATTGACATATTTCACTGATATAGGTCCGACATCGGTCCGATTTATATTCGTTTGACATGATTTAAGTTTTATCATGGTAACGTTTTTTTAGCATACAGGACCATGAAACCGGGAAAAAATTTCCGAATTTTAACGCGTTTAACCATTGAACGGATATTTATCGTAATTTGCACAATGGTAAATAGTTACCTACGCACCGTACATCCGGGCACGCTTACATTTGGCGCAAAACTCAACAAGGGACAAAAGTTCGAATATTTACAATCACTGGGTAATTTAGCATTTTCTAATACCTTTTTGATAAAATATCATTAACATAGTTGATATACTGGTTGAGTGCTATTGAAATTTTGAAAAATAAATAAAAAATATATGGACAAGATGGCTTTGATTTAATAGTCATGCAATTTCGCGATCACGTTAAATTGGGTTGCTTATAATTTCTTTTAAACCTATAGGACCTTAGCAACTTGTTGGCATAGATAAGAAATAATTTGTTCTTAAGTTTAAGCAAGACTTTGCCATTAAATTTTGTTGAAACAAAATAATTAAAAGTTACATTTTGACAGATGATTTAATTAAAAAGAATATTCCTTTTTTTTTTTTTTACTTCAGTAATTATATTGAAAGTTATGTTTCTCATTAAATAATATTTTTGTATTTTAGCACGAGATATCCGCATTTTTACCCTATTAGAAAAAATGTCTCGACAATAGACACAAATATTGGACACTGTTCATCAGGTATTTGGTGTCGTGTCAAAGTTGGAAAGTCAAGATGGTGGTGGACCAACTGAATTGCCTGATGATATTCATTTACCAGTTACAAGCATTGAAAAACTGGAGTTGGTTGAGACAGGTTTACAAGAACCTGGTTGTTTCAATGGCTTGGTAAATTTATTTTCATTAGTTAGAAAGATGTTAATTTTATCTTTGCACGAAATGAATTTATAATTGTTTTTGAAAACAAAAGTGTTTTTGCTAAACTTTTTTTATGTCACTAAAATTTTGCACACTAGTTTCCTGTCCGTCATACTGTTCTTAAAAGTTTTTGGCCTGTCATTAGTGTGCTTTTGTTTGTAACACAAAAGACATTATATTATTACTCTAGTGTAATATGTAGACATTATATTATAACTAGTGTAATATAGTATTTCTTAAATAGAGAATATCTGTTTGTTTTGCATGTAAGATTGAAAAATATTTCACTGAGCAAACACCAGATGCAATATTAATTTCATGACTTGCATTGCAACGAATGAAAATAAAATACCTGGTGTTCACGAATGAAATATATTTCAATCTTATATGTAAAACAAATAAATTTTCTTTTTATTTCATGCTTTTTTCGTGATTTTAAATATTTTTTACTGATTTGCTGCCTGACGTCGCGCATTCTCCTGTCACATCATCAATTTTGAAATATAATCCTGTTAAATCCTCCAATTTTGTTACACTTTTAACATGATAAATGATGACATCGACTTTCTTTTCTTAAAGAAAGAACATTTAAGTATGACGGCATTTTTTTGGGCCTGTTATTCCATTTAGTTATATTCTTTTCATCTGCATTCAGATATAGTCCGGCTACAGTGAAAATGATATATTATAAATTTCAGTAGTGGTTTATCAAAATATTATCTATTACAGTGAAACACTGGAAAAAGCATGAAATAAATGGCCTTATTACACTCCTGTGAATTATGTGTCAAATGCTTTTTGAAACGTTAGAAATGTGTTTAGAACAAAAATCATATATTTCAGGTCACATACCTGACACTGCAAGGAGGTATCACAAGAAGCGATATGTCAAAAAGAGTCATGAAACACTGCATGTCAAATCAGTTGGCACTTCAGTTCAACTGGTTTGGCAAGTAAGGGAAGAGAGTGTTTGGGAAACTGAAGCTGGCCAAGGCAGTGCAAAGTAATTATTTTATTTTCATTTAAAATTTTATGGATAACCAAATACATAATTGTTACAGACAGTAAGAAACCTGCATATTTGACTTAGATATTTGATTAAAAAGAAGAAAATATATCACTATGTTCTCACCTCTGCATAGAAAAGGATATTTCATAAAAAATAATATATCCCAAACTGTGATTTTATTGCTTAATTTAATGTTTGGAGTTCAAATGCGAGGAATTATATCAGGAGGGAGTAGCCTGATTGATATAACGATTGTATTCGAATTCATAATGCAGTGAAATCACTTTTTTGGATATATTATTTCGATTCTAACAACAGATAAATACTGCCGTACCTAGTATTAAGGTACACTGCGTCTGATTTGTTTCCTTACTTATTTTCAGCGCCTCACATTTTTAAATGCTAATGTCACATATCTGTAAATGGTTTCATCACATGTTTAAATACAGTGATTTTATTGCATAATAACACACTTCAGGTCCTTCTGTGTTTAATAGAGGAAAATGCGGGTTGTGTTAGAAATTAGAATATTATATAAATTTTGGATAAAGTTAATATTTTTTATGATGTATACCTTTACTTGATGTGTTAATTGATAAAAGCATAATATTCAGTTTAGAACACTTGAATGTATGGAGAAGTTAATATTTTAATTAAGTATATCACAAAAATTTAAGGAGTATATATAGTCTACCACTACATGTGTCTATAAAGTTCTGCCAGAACAAATAAGTAGGTAGATCTTATTTTCTTTTTAAATTATACTTACAGAAGCAGTCATGAAATGTAAAAAATGTACAGCAGCTGAAGTCGAATTAGATTGTAGAGAATGGTTTCGAAGTGCATGTGACAGAGACGGGGGCCGTAAAAGAAGACAAAAAAACAATGAAGGTGTCCAAGAAACACCCACTGAATAGAACTTTTAAATATATTTATAGCGATATTGAAAGAAAAAAGATGGCTCTTTTAATTTGGAAGTAATGTAAAGGACTTGTATCATTCTAGCCTAATAGTTCAAGAACATATAGCCTAAGAAGAATAAATCATACATAAATAGTGATATAGTTAAACTAAACATTATTGAGATATATTTAAGAAACAATATCAGTTTCTGTGTTGTTCATCGGCTATTTAAAATCAGTTTAAGCTTGTGTGTCAGGCAGGATTATATATATTGTGTTTACATCGTTGCTGGATTAATGATTCTTCAGCCCATGACCAGTTTAAAGTGACGCCATTCTGGCACTTGTGTGAACAAGCTGCATACTTGGGATGACGTTTTTATGGTGCTTACGAGTTCGCGTCAATTTGTCTTATAAAACTTATATCAATCTGTTGGGTCGGTTAATGTGAGATGTTACTTTAGCATCACATGAAAAGAAGATAAAAAGTGAACTGAAAACATCAGAAAAAGTGCGTTATTATTTTTGCCGTAAAAAGAATTTGAAAACTATTTTATTGAGGGAGAACAAAAAACAGCGGCATATTTGTGTAGTCCATAATCAGTGCTTATTGGAAGTTTACGCCGTTAAAATCCTTCTTTGTTATAGAAACAAAATCTCAAGGAGTGTTAGATTTACATAAGATGTACATATTGTTATTGTTTTTACTCATTTAGTATTTCAATCGCACATATCAAATATTGAGATTATGGTCATAGCTTCATGATAATCAAATGATTTTTACAATTATAATACTAAATTCTGCGATTTGTGAATCTATAATTCAATTATTGTTTTTGATTCGTTATTATAGGTTGTTTTTTTTGTTTTATGCTTTGTAAAAATATTATAAATCCATTTTATTACCATGCCTTGCCAAATGTATAGTCAAGTCTAGTCTTTATTTTTTGCATTGTTTTTTACATTGTTTTATTCTTACATTTATTTTCTTTAATAATTCTGCATAATTGCTGATATTTTTTAATTTATTTTTTTCTATTATTGCATAATAGCTGAAGTATAGAGAGAAAAAAACCACCCATACAAATGCAATGTTGTAGATTCATTCTCAGTTTTTAAATGGAATTTAAATCATAGCTTTTGAACATATTAAGTTTTATAATTGGCATTTTTAATTTGTTTGTTTATAATGTTTTACCAAGGAAGCAGAACTAAATTGAATTATTACTAGTCTTTTATATCTTTTTTTAGTCAGGTATGTTTTTATTTAAAGTGAAGATCATTAGATGTATATTTGTTTAGAAATGGAAGCATGAGAAAAGAATTAACAGTGATGTTTGTACAATATATATATATTATTTATCAACAGAAATAACAATTGAAGATGGCCATAAGGAGTTGTTTACCAATTAATGCAATCTAATGTGAAAGTCAAAAAAATATTATTTAATGTGGGAATCTGAATATTAGGTATAGTATGATAAAATGATATAATGTCATCAGTGGGGAACTTTCTCAAGAGTGAATCTATTGTATTCTTTAAAATTTTGATTTCTTAAATTTTATGTCTTCATTATAAAGATTCAGTAACCATGACAATTTATTTTCTTATTTACTTTCAATAATTATATATTAACAAAATTAATATGAGTGTTATTCTATTACCAGTATATTGTCTGTGATTTTTAGCTCGACTATTCGATAAGAATAAGGAGAGCTATTGCAGTCACCCGAGCGTCTGCGTCGGCGTAACCACTTATGTTAAAGTTTTTGTAATAGTTCAAATATTTTCAAAGTCCATTGACATATGGCTTTGAAACTTTGCACACTTGTTCACCATCAGGTATGTTTTTATTTAAAGTGAAGATCATTAGATGTATATTTGTTTAGAAATGGAAGCATGAGAAAAGAATTAACAGTGATGTTTGTACAATATAGTAGACATGAGGAGGTAACTCTATCAAGCATTTTGACAGAATTATGCCCCTTTTTCGACTTAGAATTTATGTTAAAGTTTTTGTTATACCTTAAATATTTTCCAAGTCCATTGACATATGGCTTTGAAACTTTGCACACTTGTTCACCATCATGACCCCAACTTGTAGTAAGGAGGAGGTAACTCTATCAAGCATTTTGACAGAATTATGCCCCTTTTTCGACTTAGAATTTATGTTAAAGTTTTTGTAATACCTCAAATATTTTCAAAGTTCATTGACATATGGCTTTGAAACTTTGCACACTTGTTCACCATCATTACCCCAACCTGTAAACAGGAGGAGGTAACTGTATCAACCATTTTTTTTTACTATCAAGCACTAAGAATAGTCGAGCTTTGCTGTCCTACCGACAGCTCTTGTTAAAGGAAATTTTTGATTTCATTTATGAAATGGACTTAAATGTCTATTTAATAGATTAATGATACAATTAGACTTCCTTAAACACTAACATTAAATAACATAGATTGAAGACTAATATTGTTTTTTTTTTGGGGGGGGGGGGGGTGTTGTGCACTTTTTCTCACATACTTCTCAAATATTTATAACAAAACGATGAAAAATGGATTGTTTGCTGTTATGTTATTGGGTTTTATTTGCAGTCTGCGATAAACAATTTAATTTTGATAAAGCAACAAATACTAGTTTACAGTACCATTGTCCTTTAAAAATACAACTATATTTTTTCCAATCTTTGTTAAATTCTCTTTTGACTGTGATGTTAACTGCTGTACACAATTAACATACATTTGTTAAAAAAAAAATATTGATTCTATGATATACATGTATATTTGCCAAATGAAAATAAAAAGCTTATATTTAAGCTCAATTGTGTTTTTTTGTTAATTTGAATGAAAAAATCAAAGTAAAATGTTTTATTAGAAGAAAAATTAAAGGTTAATTTATGTCGGTATGACACCGGCTTCAAATCGATCTAACGATATACAGCCGATATCGGCCCGACTTGTAGCCGGGTTGCACATCCGACATCTGTCCGATATAAGAAATCGATATCGGGCCGACATAACAACTGATATCGGGCTGATATTGGACCGATATAAAATGTTTGCTGGGGTGGTATTGTATCCATCGTTCTTATCACACTATTTTATTGTATGCCGTATTACCATCATCGTAATGTTGTAAATTGTTTTGCATTTCGAATTGACGGGTATACACAGCGCTGGCCCTTATGAAACATCGCAAATTAGAACGAAACCTCAGAGATAAAGTTTTTTTACATAAGAAAAAACAATTTTGATTGAAAAGATATTTATGCACACCTGTGTAAATACAAAAGTTTCTAACAGCAATAAAACTTGAACCAGCACCAGCCAAAAAAGCAATCAAGTCCGTAACGGAGGTTATTGTTATTCCAACACCGGATATACGTAATGTCTCCGCCAATTTATCTTCTACTGAGTGCCTTGTCTGTGCTTCTGATAAACCGGACAGCAGAATGAACATGTCGTCTATACCTATGCCTGAAATAATTAGTTATGTTACTATCTAACACGATCCTTTGATATGAGGAAGCTATCCATCAAGCTGTTGTCCTACATAGGTGCTCGTTCGTGCGGAAAGGCACTGGGGGTCGTCCTCAACAAGTAAAGCTGGAAAGATGCCATATGATCTATACTGTGTTAGCGCTACGTAAACCCCCCAAAAAACAGATCTAACACTATCGAAAAGTTCCGAATTGTGTTGATCATTAGAGTGTTCAGATCAGCAGATAAAATATTTATCCTTGCATCTAGTTTATTCTGTATTTGTTACATCGGTGAAAAGTAAACAGTGTTATGTTAAGCTAAACTGTTTGCACCTTTTTGAAATTATGTTTGTGAGAGCCTTATTATACGTGAACATGTAAAAGCATTACATTTATTAAAATGATTGCACGATATAATTTTAAGATATATATATAAACATATATATTATATACCTATGATTAAAAAAGGCACTATTCCAACAGTACTGACAAAATCTACGCCACAGGCTGCACAAAGTCCGAAACTAGAAACAATTGCTAATCCTGCAGCCAAAATTCCACCAAAACCAAGCCACATACGTTGTCCAACCTGGTCAGTCAGTCTACATGTGATAAAGGAAAAGATAAAAAGTGGTCACTTTGTATAATGCTTTTTTTATTAATAAACACAGACTGCAATAAATAAACTTGGGTATGTGTTTCATATGATTCACAATTTAAGGATGTCTAAGACAATTTAAGGAAACATTCTTCATCTTGATATTCGGGTACTGTTGACAAGACTGTCAACGAAATTTGTTAAGGTACACTTTAAAGATATTTATCTTTAGCAAATATGTCATGACTTTATATTGAACTTAAAATTTGTGAGTCAAACGTTTTTATCTTTAAGGAAATAATTCTTCATAGTAATAATGGATTTTCGGTTAGGTTTAAGGTATATCGACACTGTTAAAATAACCACTTCCAACGTTTACAAGTAAGGAGTTATTTCAGGCAAGAGCGACCACCGACCTAAATGGGATTTGAACCCACAGCTTAAATGGTCAAGACGTTGTCATTATCCATTCAGTCACAGTGATATTTTTTTAGTTTATTTCAAATTTGCATTCAAGCCACCGGTCCATATACATGAATACATAATATAAACGCAATAGCATATTGTCTCAGCAGCTTGTTATGATTTACATCACATAATATACATGTTTACATAGCTGTATAAAGTACAATGACATATTGTCAGAGCAGCATTTAAGCCATTTTTCAAAAAAACATGTAATTTTGTAATAAAATATAGCAACTAATTATAATATAGAGACATTTAAGATATTAATTCATTTCGCAGTTTAAATGCATAGTATAAAAATTGATAAGTTTCGTATTGTCTTTACACATCTGCATGACAGTAATTAGTTAAAAAATTTTTTTGGATGTTTCCAATAGTTATTTGTAGGGTTATTTGGTATAAATTGTTGACGTAAATCATCATATAAAGGACATTTTAACAGAAAATGAAATTCACATTCAATTTTATACCGACATTGTATACAAAAACGGATTTCCCTAGGAATATCAATATGTCTTCCTTTCTCTATCATCAATTGATGAGAAGAGGACCTAAAAGCAGCAAAACTACTCCTGTATTTCAATATATCTTTACAGCCCAGATACTTTTAAAATTAAAATTACATTTAAAATTTCTGTAGAATACTAGCTTTCTGTTTTCTACATGTTCTAAACACTCACTGTTCCAATTTTGCATGTATTGATCTTTCAATCTATATACATGAAGAGAAAGGAATAAGTTTGCATTTTCAACCTTTGAGAATGTGTTTATATTATTGGAATGGTATATTAGATTAGATAACCCTAACTTATGAGTAGGGAATATGTACCATATCAAAGATAACATGTCGAATTTGACTCAAGTTGCCCTTCCTTTGCCCATTTGGTAACACTTTAACTGTCATTGTTTTTTTACTGATACTGATAGGGCCATCATTCTATTGTTGATCTTTATTCTTATATTTTAAGTCCGTAGGTAATCTTAGATCGGCTATAAATAAACTCGTACTTAAATGGAAAGCAAATTGGGACAATGCCGTTTTTAATAAACTTCATGATATAAACCCATCTCTTGATGTGTCACCATCTCTATCTCTGTCGAACCGCCATGATCTTCGATGCCGAATTGGACACACTAAAATTACCCACTCTTATCTCCTCACGAATGACAATGCCCCTTTCTGTGTAGGTTGTAATGAAAATTTTACTGTTAAGCATTTTCTTCTTGAATGTCATGATTTTTCACAGGCCCGTTGTAAATTCACTCAAAGAACTCTTTAATACAATTCCATCAAACAAAACATAATTGATTATTTGAAAAAGATAAACTTGTATTCTAGGATCTAATTGGCTGATTTTTTATTGTCATTTACAAAGTTTTACATAACATTTTAAGCCAATTATAGCATTCGGCACGATATGGCCAGTTATGTGTTGACGTGCCGTAAAAATCCAAACAAACAAACAAAATTCTACCTTACTAACTCGATGAAAACAAAATTAACTAACCTATAAGACAGTGAAGCCACGCATGCGTATGTGATCATCAAAACTAGAGTTGCCTCTATTAATGTTATATCTCCATATATAGTAGCGTTTAATTCCTCGTCCACGGAGTCATAATGACAGTACCGCAAACTCAAATTTATCACTTCCACTGTATAGCGCTATACGCTAAAAACTCAGCCACCTTAAAACACCGTGACGTTTTAATTGTGTAACGCTTGAGGATGTTAAGTAAATCAAACAAAATATACAAAATGATATAATATTATAAAGATTTTTTGTTTATATTCATTTCAAGTGTTAAAGATTTAACAAGGGTTCATTTAAATATGTGTTGCAGTATAAACTTATTTTACCATGATTATGTTTAATTCATTATATTTGACCACAGGTTTTCCACTGGTCGATATAAAGTTTCAATGTCAGGTCTTTCGATGAGGTATTTCCCCTTACCCATTTCTCAGTGTCTTTGTCTTGTAATCACCAGCATCTGTCCCGCATATGAAAACCAATGGAAGGAATTCCATTCCTATTAACATTTCCCCTGTGCCGTCAAGTTTAACTTTTCCTGTACATTTGTGAAGAAAATACTAGACTGTATTGAATGTAATTTCTTCGATTAACTTTTGTTTTTGTATTTTTGAAATATTCTGTTATAAGCATGATAAAGTTTTGATTTAGATATACTGTTTATTCCTTGATGTTACTCATAATTGTGTAGTTTTAAATCAGTGCTTGTGACAGTTGCAAAAACTTATGTAATTCGAATTTAGTTTGTTCTTTGTTTGCAGCATTGTCGTATCGTAAATTGAGATGCACATTTGTTTCTGTGTAAGTAAATATGTTTAAATATTTATTTCAAATAAAGGTATGTAGGCTATTGCCCTAACAGTGTATGTATTATACTTGCCAACTACAGATGAATAGTCCTGCTCTCCGGTAGTCGAAGAAACACAGGGTATGAAACGTTGTGGTTATCCACTGCTGCGAGAAAGTCATCGTCCCAAAAGATATCCCCCTCTAAAGCGCACCGAGAGTGTGACCTGTCTGTATACTGAAAATATATTGCACTGTTTTGGTACAATGCCATTATAATAATAATTCTTATATTATGTTAAAAATTAATGTTTTTGTACAATGCACCGTCGTAGGGTCAAGAAAATGAAGATGACCTGTAACTTCCAAAGAATAGATGGTAACCATTAAACAATGTGAGAGTAAAGAAGCATTAGGGAACTATTAATATTCTAAGTGTTTCCTAAGTTTTTTCAACACGCATCCGTGAAAGAATGTAAGATATGTCAAGACCATCAATTAACAATGTTCTATTATACTATGACTTTCGACATTCAAATATATGGAAAAACGTGATCCCTCTGAAGCATTAAAATCAGCAAAATTTCATGACAATTGCGGACTCGGTTTAATTGACTCTTCACATAAGGATTAATGAAAAAGTGCAACATCCCTCAAATTCCCTAGCACTGGTTTGAGCTGTACTCCATTTCCAACATATGAGAGTGCTGGAATCAATAATCCCGAAGGACCGGAAAAATATAACAACACTGAACTGAAGTACAGGCTGTTACATAGCACTTAACACCTGCTGTTGTGATGTTTAAAAGTCTGGGGCTTTACCTTTTGGCTGCTGATATGGATCGTTTACAATACATATCAACTTATAAGCAGCATATTTATTATAATACATACTTTGCAAATGTATTCACAACACGCAACCATGACTTGGGCGTTGTTTAGGTTTTTTTTCCATTTTATGGTCACATCAATGCTATTGATGTCTTGTGGTGGCCGTGAAGATTTGACCCGTATATATAAGGAAAGATGTTGTATTTTCCGATCCTTGAAGATCGTTTCCCCCGTCAGTATTGTTCTGTGTGCATGTTTGTGATACTTTTAATTCATCTAGATGATCTTTTTAGTTAGAGTTATTCTAGTATTCCTATTTGCATACTGTATAATCACACTAACGATATCTTGCGTGCTTTTTTAATTTTGATTTTGACGTCTTGTCTCTGATATGCAAGTTTCATAACCTCTAACCCCATTTCAAAATTCTATTTATTTAATTCCGCCTATTGTTTTCTCGTTCATACATTCTTATTCTTATTTAGGGAGCATACGCCGCTTTTCATGGAATAGCACTAGCGTATCACATTAAAGGTTCCATAATAACCGCCATATAAACATATCTACATATAGATGTTTCTACATTCAAAATTTCACAATTTTACATGTGTAAAAGTTTAATATATCATGAACAGGCTCAATCAAACCAAGTTTTGTGCGTTATTTGTTTTGTTATCTGTTTTGCAGTGAAAGTGTGGCTTTGAGCAATTTGGCTAAAGACTTTATTCCTGCAAGTGACACACAGTCTAAAATGCAACACATATGTGCGAAGCTTTGAAATAACTTACAATGTATTAAATGACAGGATTTTTGATCGTACATTTTTTATTCTCTTTAACAAAAAAGAAATCGTTCAAGTTGTGTATAACTTTAACGTTCCAATAACATTTTTTATTTAAGCGTGCGATTCATCAGTTTAATGTACAAGGTACCATAATTATATAATTTCAGAAAAATTTCATTATAATTTCAGAATCCATCTATGAACCGGAAAATAACAATTTATTTACAATCATACTCGTATGCTGGTTTTTACGCTTTTGGCATGATATTTGCGCGCGTAACATCGGCACCATGCAAAACACATTTATGTCAATGCCAAGTTTTTTTTGTGTGTTTTGTTTACTTTTTTTTATTTAGGAATAACAATATTGTTGACCGGAACTATTGTCATTGCACTTCATTAAAATATTTCCTTGGAACTCAATTTGTGATCTTGCAGTTGAACTAAAGACCTTGGTCTTGTACGCGACATCGTCTCATTGTCTTTCTTTACTTAAAAACTGATTAACTCTTGCAAATGATATATTGGTATGCTATTGTTTCATCATGACCCATTGGTTAAATTTAAAAAAAAAACCGTTACATCCAAACTGTAAATGATTTGTATTATTGTTGTAACTGTTGATAATTCTGTTGCTTCTCATATTGTCTTTATTTTCATGATCACTACATAATGCGGAAAGCTTCACCTAACATTCTACTAATATACAAATATGAAATGGCTAGTAAAACAAAAGCATAATATTTAAGTTTTTACCGTGTTGCAATAAAATGTACGAACAGTACCTTTATAGCTGTCCCGATACCGTCTTTTGCTTCTATTCTTTTAATAAAATCAGTCATTCTTTTCACTTCCTCTAGAACAGTTCTATTAAGCAGATTGCCAGCTGTAGATCGAATAATAACCCTTGCATAAAGACCATCCACTATCGATACTGTTAAGGGGTTGAAGTTTGAGCCACTCAAATTTGGAAAAATATCATCAACTCTGGCACGATCTTTGCGTGCTTCTGTTCCTATGTTTGACAAATAAAATAAATAGTTTATGGACCTATTTAACCTATGAGTGATGAAAAGTTTGATTTATATATGCCAATGATTAAATGTTTTGACTGCGATTTGAAACGAAGTATACCCTAGTCTGTAAATGTCAATAAAAATACAATGTGTAAAATGTAAAGTGCCCAATATGTGTAAAGTGTTAAAAAGCCTTTAAATGGGAATAATGTAAGCATACATGGTTATCAAATTGTTGCATATGAATTTATGAACGAAATAGGTTTGTATACCTTGTGGAAGATATAAATTTCTTGGGTCAATGTCTTTTTGAAGCTTGATCATTCCAATTCCAAGCGCTCCGTTTACAATGATTGTCATAATCATTATTTTCCAAGCATGACATGAAACGAATCTTCCATATTTCGCAAACGCGCCTCCAATTTTCTTTTCAACAAACTCGCACCATTTATTCAACTTCATGCTTTGTTGAGAATACCTTCCGTTTTCAGAACAAAACTACAAAGCAAATTGTGAACAATATACATGAAGGTTACTTCAAAAACAAAATTTACAATATCCAACAATGATTTGCTCTGCTAATGAAAACACATTCTTTTAATTTCTTTTTAGTTTCGTAACTTAAAAACCTGTTTCGCTATTTAACTTACAATATCAATTTGAGAATTATATATGACATATATAAACGGAACGTGCCGAGTGTAAATAAAAATAAATGATTTAAGTGCAAGATTGGTACATCATGCAAACATAAATTTGACTCTTATAAAGACCTCGTTTTAATGGTATTAGGAAAATTAAGAAATGCTTAAAACTTACGATATCCTTATACAATAGTTTCACAAATCTTAAAAAAGGTACTTGACCGAGGTGAATCTGGTATCTGGTTTTACTTCGTTTACTTCTCACACACAGTACGGTTAGTCCACAAACTGTACCACGTGTTGATGTATTGTGATATTTAATGTATAATCTACGACTTGGAAACGATATTCTGCCTCAGAACAAAAATAAATGTACCCAAGAATCTAGCTTTGTATGTTAGAAGTTCTGAATTTCTAAATCACTCGCGAGTCAATTAGGTATAGCTATTCGACCAATGACTCCATAAGTTAAATCAGTTTTTTTCCACGGATGTACGTATCTCAATGGTCATCTGTTTTTGCAATAATGAAAAATGTATAATGTAATGATTTTGTTTTTAGAGTCATCAGTTGCTGAAAGCTTATATAATTAAATATCTAAATATTCAGAAAATGAAACGCTTTTTATTAAGTGTTAAATTGTACTATAAAAAACAATATTTCAAGAACTTATGTGAAACCTACGTTTTAATACCAAAGTTGTCAAAAGAAAATAGCACCAATTAACAACATGTGTGTGATTGTGATGCTGTTATGGACAAGCTTTATTAGACTTGGCTTGAATGGAGAAAAGGGTGCTGGCAAACGCCCATCGTAGAGGTTTGTCCTTTATAGCTGTTTCCCTAAACATATTTCACACAATGATTTACAAAACTGGTATGTTTATCAATTACTAAATTAGTAGCAAAAATAGTCAATTAGTGATACTATTAATTAATCAATCTCTAACAAAATGTTTCTGAACAAACGATAATACATCCAGTAAATTCTTACCTTGGAAAGGAAGTCAAATTGTAAGAAAATGTTAGTTGTACATATAATTTCATTCCAGGATCAAACATATCTTTCATTCCTTACAACATATATACAAAACCACATGTTTAGGTGTCAAAATCACCATGTTTTTAATACAGTCTTATCAGAAGAATAATATTTTCAAATAAAAAATGCATAACAGATCCATGGTATCATTTAAATACCGGTATTCACATATTATCGAAGTTAATCCGTTATCTTAATTAGTAATAAGTTAAAAAAATAAAAATCTGGAAACAAAGTGATCCCTCGGAAGCATTTATTACTTACTAAAATATAGTAAATAAAGTTTATTCCATGTAAAGGTTGTTTCATAAATTAAAGAAGTAGTTTCATAATATTCTTCTGAATATTAGCTTATCAAATAATATCTTAAATACTTATGATCTCGGATATATTTTAAATTCTTCATTAACTTCAAAACAGGCTATTTTGATAAATGTTTTGTATTTCAATACAAAAGAAAATTAGCCTTTGTACTTTGAAACATAAAGATATATATATATGCCTAACAATTAAAATATAGATAATGCCAATTCAGATCTCAATGTGGTAATGATTTTTACTAATGATAATATAAATATTATTGCAACTGCTTGTTTTGCATACACATTAAATATAGAATCGGTGATTATATATTTATCTAGACGATATTTTTCTAGTCTTTACTCCTTCGTCAACAACGTAAAATATTTAACAACGATGGCTGTTCCCAAACTTACTTGCTGTTTATTTCATATAGGACGTAAGAAATCCCTTTAATGCTTCAGTGTGAGCATTTTCATGAGAAAAAAAACCCACCTCAAATAGTTTTTAAGTTGGGTAAGCCAACAGATTAAGTCAATGAAATGGCATTTACCTTGAACGAAATTAACTTTTACATAAACTCAAATTGGAACATGCTACTTATATTCAGTAAAGTCTCAAGCTTCCTAAATTCAACCATGGGGATATTCAACCAAGGGAATGCTTGATGCTGAACAATAGTGGAGACAAAGGAATTATAGCATAAAGAAGACATTCCCACTGGCGGAATGTCGAGCCCGCTCGTGTTAATTCAAACCTGAACTTATAAGCTTCATATCAAGAAGAAAGATACTTGAGAATTGCGCAACACATCTTCTTTATACCGAGGGTAAAATGTTGACATTGCATCATCTTAGGTGACATTGACCTCTGACCTGGTTCATGTGCATGACACGAAGTCTCATGATGAACATTTGTGCCTAAAAAACTTCATTAATGTAATCTGAAAATTCCTCCATGCACAAACAAGTTATGTCATGGACAAGTTTGGATGCACGTGCGCACACACAAACACTGAACAGCCATTTACACAACTATGGCGAGATATGGAGAAAATTTGTGCGAAGTCCCATTAAAATCCATCTGTTTATAAAAGTTATATTCTTGCGAATTAAATTTTATTTTGTTATTTGACCTTTGACCACTATTTTTGACATTGACCTTTACCACAGACACCTGAAGTTTTCGCGTAACACAATGAATGTGGAAGTAACAATCTGGACACGGGGTTTTTGCGGATGACACCACTTGCCCCATGTGTGTCCTTGACCTTTAAGTAATGGACCTGGCTTTGGCGTGTGACATCCCACCCAATCATGCTTAACATTTGTATGAAACTATTTTGTGAGCCTTCATAGAATGAGCAAGACATAGATCGGACAAATCTAGATGAACGCATGGATTTTGCGCTGATTCACAAGTGTGACCTTGACCTTTTAGCGACGGACCTTGGTTTTGTGACACACCATCCCATCATGGTGAACATTTGTACCAAGTTATTTTGTAAGCTTTTAAAGAATGGGCAAGATACATTTGACCTTTGACCTCCTATGATATTGACCTTCATATTGCGCGAGACAACTCAACTCAACATGGAAAACATTTTTGCTAAGTTATATTAAAATCCATCCATGTACATGCAAATCATTTTGGTATAAAAGCAACCTGTAAAGTTCCGTTGCATTCCAAGAAGTGGCATTTGGGAAATAAAGTTTTAAATGTTCGATGACTAGACGGGACATTTCAACTTCGTGAATTCCTGATTTCATCTCCATGCATTCACCAATTTGATTTCGTTATTTCACGTTTACAACAAACGGAATATAAGAATTCACCATTTTAATTTCACAACTTCACAATTTTGACTTCACAAACGTACGATTTCAACTTCATGAATTTAAGATATCTACATGAATTCACCTTCATGTATTAATGTTCTTATTCCGGAAAAGGGGAGATCACTCTGTAGCAGTACAATGTACTTAACAAATGTTTGTTTCAACCGTAGACAGATAATTCATACGTCAAAGTACTGTACATGTGAATAACTGAATATGACAAAATTTGTGTATGTGACAACGAATGTAGCAAATATTTTTTTTTTTGCATTTTCTTAATAGAAAACAAAGTTCATCAAATTAACATGTTATATATTTTTTAATCAGTGCACTTTTAAAAGAAGATTTCATTTTCATGGCTGATATTACTGATATGTTTTCTCCTTGCTTTAACGCTGAATTTACTTATAAAAGACATAGTTTTATGAAAATACAAAGTTATAGTGAGCCATCAATTATCATGGCAGTTAATATGCTTCAGGGCGTTTTTAAAGAAATGCGTTTCATATTTGTAAAACTTAAATGCATTTTAGTGACGTTTGCTGTAAGTTAACATGAAAAACTTATTTTTAACATGTGTTTATAATTAATATTTTTATTAAAACACGTTAACATAAAAAACAAATACCAACACTTATAATATATTTTAAGAGTATGTACCGATAATAATAGTATAAAAATAGACTTGAATTTTATAGAGAACACCGCTAGATCTGTGTTAACCTACTTGTTGTGCAAACACTTAAAGTTTTAAGACATCTATATAAAAAACTCGTCCGTTGTAAATCATGTCATTGATAGATCTCTAATTTATTTTTTTTGTTCAAATAACAATAGGTTTAACCACACACATTTCATGTGTTCTTTTAGGAAATAATTAGTTATGAAGTTCTAATTGTGATCCACCAGACTGAAATGATTAGGTCCATTTAGGGATTTCTAATTGCATTTAGGTGGGATTTTTGTTTGTTTCATTTTACGCCTTTTCCCAACAGTATTTCAGTCATTTAGGCGGGTAGTTTCCTAACCATCGTTCCTGGAGAGTTACACCAGTACTAGACTACCTTCCTCTGCGCTAAACTACCAAAGCATCTCCCGGGGATCGATTTTTGTGTGTTTGTTTGGATTTTTACGGCACGTGAACACATAACTGGCCATATCGTGCCGAATGCTATATTAGGCTTAAAATGTTATGTAAAACTTTGTAAATGACAATAAAATTGAGCCAATTAGATCCTAGAATACAAGTTTATCTCTTTCAAATAATCAAAGATGTTTTTGATCGAATTATATTCAAGAGTTATTTGAGTGAATTTACACAATAAAATGTGAAAATTCATGACATTTAAGAAGAAAAATCGAACCCACACAAGAGAGGTAACTGGATTAGAAGTCATCGACTCTAACCCCTCGACCACGGAGGCGGTAGGTTGGATGTAAATCACATACAGTATACAACCGATTACCTTCGTTGGCCTGAAATCGGGCTCAAATGACGCTTGTCTTCTATAACTAGTATTATGCGATTGTATGTTTTCAATGGGAGAACAAATGTTGTACTGTTTGTTATCTGATAATAAATGCACGATCATATTTCATTAAATGTGTATTCAAATACTTTATATTGACCAAGTTTTAAACTTTCAGGGATTACTACTACCTGGTTCTATTTTTAGCAGCTGACGCAATTTGACTCAGGGCATCATGTTTACACAATCCAACCAGATTGTCAAACTGATGTACTGACTTTCCCTTATACTAATTATAAGTAATTATCTTTAAAAATGAGTATTCATGCTAAAGATGTAACTTTTGTTGGAGAATAATATGCAAATGATCTTGTTATGTCGGGTTGACGTACCAAATTTTTCACAAAAGTCCCAAAAGAGGATGACCCCTACCCACCTCGCATTCCCCTTTTCTTACTGAAATTTTCTTCTGATCACAGGACTGGCAAATACATGTGCTTAATTGAAATACATATATTTTTAAGAATACAAGTTTCCAAATGAAATGATATTTTAGAGACACATAAAACTGTTTACTGTCTTAGAAAAAACAATTAAGTGTACGTTTCTTAAATAATTTCTGTACTTAAAAACATCACATTTTCATCCAATCACCTGATGTCCCCATTAAATCCCTGCACTTTTTTGCCATCGCTGGCCATCTTACAGGACAGTAATCTGACGGTATTGTACATTGTTGAGTATTGTCAGAATAGAGATTTGTATACATAATTATATACCGACATGTATTGAAAATGCAATTTTGGTTAAGTCGTTTTATCAGTTCCTTCTTTAAAAGTGAATCAAGTAACACGAAGGGAAATATATATATATGTCTGAAGACAATCAAAAGGGAAAATAGTATTATTAAAAATCCTGTATTTTTGTAATTAAGGTAGTTACCACACTTATAATAAGTAAAATTTTATTTTAAGTTTATAATTATGGTTCTAAAACACTTTTCAAACATCGAAGAATATGAAAAATATTACGGCAAATATTTGTCCACATTATATGTAATCATTAAAATATATGCATTCATTTCTTATTTAAAAATTTGACTTAGACTTTATAGAAAATAAATTTCCATTTATCTCCCTTTATCATGCTTATTAACATGAAGCGTAAATTCGGTAATATCTTTACAAATAATGCTTTTTGGAATTTATAATATTAATGAATCTTCATTTGAGCATTTTTTAATGAAAATTGAGTTACAGGATCTTAAAGCAATTAAAAATGGGAGGTTTTAAACGTTTAATCTTATATCTGCATAAGAATGGCACTAACAATAAGATTGATATTCTTCTGGGCTTCATAGCATAAACAATAAGATTGATATTCTTCTCGGCTTCATAGCATAAACAATACATTTTCTCTGAACAATTCTATTTGCAGAAATATTTGCACGTTTCTTAATACTATGTCTCATGAGTTCATTTCTTTACTTACTTTACAAAACATGTATAATACATGAACACAACCGAATTAAGCATATAATTATATTCTTATTGTTTGTTTTACATTATAATTAAAATGGCACTATTTGTCAAGGTTTTTTTTTCTTGTAACTTAAACGGTTTTAATTTTACAGTTTTGATTATTATGCTTTATTTGTGTAACAAAATTATATCCTAATGCCATATTAGCCAAGTGTTTAAAAAAGTTTTTTCTACAAGTATTTCATATTGATTCCAAAGCATTCTCTTACAAATTAAGACTACTGTTGCATTTAAAACCACACAATTTAATTCAAAGCGTAGGCAATGCCCACCCACTATGCATTGCAATGTATCTGTTTTTATTCATGACATTCCTTTAACAACATCTATCTTGTAAGAAGTTCATATTCCATTGCAAGTCCAGTCATGCCATAGCATGGACACCAAAGAAACCTTTTAGCTTTTGTATGAAATGGCTGACAGTTGCGACTTGTTTGAATCAAAGTTAATAATATTTTTAAATTATATTCGTTAAGTGAATAGATTCCTGATAATAACTATTAATGGGGATCGTATAATCTAAACGAACAAAATCATTACATGCTTTTAAGATTTTATGTTTTATCTATTGAATCATTTTGAAAACCATGATGTGTAAAAGGTTATAATTTAATTGCAACTTGCTCCACATTACATACATACATTAATTTCTAATAAAAAATTACGAGGCAGAAAGTTTGTTAACTTTCGAGGATGATGATAACTAATAATTTATTATAAATGTCAAAAATGGCTGAAAGACGTTAAAAATATTTGAACGAAACAAAACGCCATTTGTTTCAAGTTTTAACTGTATGATGAGGTATGAAATTGAAAATGTCTTAAACAATAAAGAATTAGATCGACATCTAGATTTTTATTTAAATCTTTATCAATAGTCTGCACATGTTTACGCTACAAATAATTGATTTATGATCTTGTTCATCATAATTTCAACTTATAACTTATGTATGCTGAAATAATTGTTGTGTGGATCAGACACGATGTTTTCAGGATTGGTTGTAGTCACATATAACCGATCACCATATTTGAGTCGAAACACAGCTCCAACAACGCTGGTTTTCCCTGATGCAGTATGTGACGTCATTATGCAAGGTGACGTCACATCTTCAAGAAGAACTGCCGACGTGTCATCAGATAGCAAATGCACACGGTGCCTTATTGTTTCATCCAATATACCAGTGGCTTTACTCATATTTAATTTTAGCTGCAACGAAATATAGTAACTTTCTTTTTCTTCTAGACCCTCTACAATGACTTGACCATCTTCTTCCGAGTACCTTAATCCAGAGATTTCCATTGATTTATGATCATTTTCCCAAAATAATTTGTGGGCCAAACCTGTGGAAACTGCAAACAAAGGTAACATAATTGTATTTTGTAGGTATTTTTCAGGCCAAAATAGTAATGCTAACACAGTTGTGTCATTTGATTGATGCAACAAAGTACAAGGTTTGAATAGTAAATACAAAATAACACTCATAATGTTTGAACAATAACTGATGTCGTATTTAACTTGTCAAAACCGGAATCCTGTAAAATTAAACAACCGGACTAATAGTATGGGGATAGTCAGGTTGCCAGTTTTTTTTAAATGTATATCAAACATTGAAGCTTCTCAACATTTAAGCAATAATGCCTTCCAGCTCTGAGTTTAGTTTCTTATTACATTTAAGTGGTGAAAATCTTCGTCTGCTACACGGATGTTACGGTCCGTCACACCATGACGTTCTGGTCAACGCTCTCTGAACGTTTTAATTGTTCAATTTCTGAACGTTCTTGAATGAGGTTGACACATCTGGCGTGTGATTTACCTGCGTCACACGGATGTTAAACGTTCATTTCCCCGACGCGATGGTTCTATTCAAAAGAAGGACTACAGTAATGTTTAGAGAATAGATATCAACTTTAAGGTCATTGTTATTGAATATGGAATATGTTCGTGTACAAATGAGTAAGAATATAATCACGAAAGTCAATATGCATCGGTAATTAATTACAATACAAAGCATTTGAACGGTAAACCGTACATCATTATACTATAATGCAAGAAAATTTAATCTAACTTTTCATTCTGACATGTTTATAAAGAAAAGCATTGATAGAAATATGTTGAACTACGCCATTTTCCTGAAGTCATATAACGTGTGAGCATTCATTTTTTTTCTGTACATAATATAGCTGTTAACTCACTACAGTCTATAGATGCATTTAGTCGTATATAAATCGGTGTGAAGAGATGAATAAGTCGTTTTAAATGACATTTCAGCGTTTTAAAAGGAGAGTTTTTATCATTCAGGCATGTAACCGGTATATACCGGCATACTTTATTTAGTATAATTGCCCTATCTGTTTGTGTAGCGCGTTAAAATGTAAGATATCTCACTGGATCCGTTGTTAAATCGACATTTTTTAAATAAGATATCTAAGTATATTAGCATTTACTTGATATTTGTTCAGAAAAACAATATGTAAATAATATCTGAATTAGACCTTTACTTTCTTTTTTTATATTATTGTTTCAAAAAGTAAATATGACATTGAATTTCGTTCCAAAATGACATTTAATTAAAATAGAGCATTACCTGGTTTCCGTTCATGTCTTAGACCAAATCTGGATACAGCCATATTTTGCTCTGTGGCTTTACAGTTATATGCCTTTGGATCATATGTTCTTATTTCTGTTTAAACGTATTAAAACGAGTTAAACAGGTTATTGTTTATATCATCGCAATAGTTAAAACAGAATGATTATTTGCAAAGTATCTACAGTTTGTAACATTTATATACATGTGTGACATATGGTATCTAAACAGACTACTCATGGCCTTATTTTACATACTATCTTACCATCAAACGATGAAACAGTTTCGTATTTAATAATGTATTGTTACTTATGAAAATGACAAAACAAACGTAGAATCTCACCTGGATTTATTTCACTATTATATCTGTCTCGTGCAGTCTGCAATACATGTATTACATTCATTTGAAAAGCATAGTGTTTGATAAATTATTCATATTGGACATATTAAACAATATCTAATCCGAAGGGCCTCTTTAGTATATGATCCATTTTGTAAACCTAAATATGTTTTATACGTGAAAAAGTATATTGGACCCAGATAAATGTTGGTAATAAGGAATTGTAATCAATTGCTTAATCAATAAATACCTTATTCGAGACCAAATCTAAAATTTCATTCAGTTTTCCACAACAGGTTGTTTCATTCTTTGCTTCATCAAATTTAAACACGAGTCCCACCGGACAAGCTGTATTGTCGTCTACTATTAACTTGACCTGTGGGTAACACATTTGCTGTTGTCTAGGTGCCAACTGATCATCTCTTTGAACTCGCCATATTACAACAAGAACCAGCAGAACAATCAACTCCCCAATAACTAAGACGATATGGGTTTTGAAAACGCATCTCTGAAATCCATCAAAGACAACATTTTCTTAAATATATCGCATTTGGATTCATTGAAACATGTATTTTCTTTTTTTGCGGTGGCTCTATAATAGTTCTTTAATTATCAATAAACAGTTATCAACGTGAGGTTATTTATCACCTTACAATTTTGGAGGCCTTGTTCAGTGTTAATAAAATTATAATGAAATCATTGAATCTATTTCTGTAAGAAGGACTTGCATTTTAATATAGTTTTTTTTTCATTTGGAACTAAAGCTACATATGTATGCATTTAAATATATACTCAAAATGATATCTAATAAATCAACATAGAACACAAAGGAATCTATTTATTTTATATTTTTATTTCTAAAATTTGTTATTATTTGAAATTATTATGATGAAATGAATAACAATTTTGTACGAATATTTCATCATAAATCTTCAATGTGTTTCAAAAGCCTAATTAATGCCGTTGCAATGACTAATCATAATACACAATATTTAAACTTAAATTTTATATATTATCTACTTTTATGCATACTTGTAAAAGAAGATAGGTTGACGAAATTCAATACACCATGTGAAGTATAGGGTAATTTAAATATAGTGATCTTAACGAATATAATTTACCTTAAACTCAACAAGGAAGACATTACGAATTAGTTTTAAATCACATATACTAGTTGAGATATGAAACGAAAATTCAACTTCTTGTATTATATACGATCGCATATTCATTGTAACTAGATATAACAAAGTATTGATCTATTTTAACCTTTCAACAGATCTGCTTTAAAAACAAAGATATATCCAACCGCTGTGTAATACTTCTATAGATGTACACCAGATTCTGATATAAAGTAACAACGGAAATTACCTTGACATTGCAAATCAGTCTTTCTGTTGTTTCATCTTCATTTCTTTTCTTCATTTTGCACAAAAACTATTAATCGCATTAAACAATTGAAACTTATTATCTACCTGTTTAAAATGTATACTTTCGAATTAGCGCGCATGCGTAAACAATATCGATAAATACAACAGGCCTCAGACCACAATTATGTTTACTATACGTTCTATAGAAACATTAAGCCTAACACTCGAAGCAAATCAAAGTAATCTGTGCTTTATTAAAATTTTAACAGGATTAACTCCCGTTTTTGCCCAGATGCTTTTGTTAAATTCTTCTCCAACAGAAAGTACAAAGAAACAAGTAAAAGGTTCGAATCTGTATCTATTTTATATTCAATAATGGTCTAATTTTTTATCTAAAGTTAATTAACAACTCATTAAAATTTTGAAAATTATATTTGAATGTATAATATTGTTAAATAACCAAAAAGGAAGCAATTTGCACATTATCAATGGCACTTACAACCCACGTAAATTACCAAAAAGTTGTTGAAATATGCATAAATAGCCCTTACTGCGTTAGTAACGCAGTAGAAATATAGTTGTAAATATTTAAAAAGCAGTCATTAACCGCACATAACATGTAAAATATTACTTGAATCTTGGATCATTTTACTTTACCTAAAATCGTAGTACATATTTCTCAAGTTTGATTTTATTGAAATATTTTGACTCATCTTGAGGCATGCAGCTTTAAAACTTAACATCAAAATAATATTTTATTCTACCTAACTAACACGCTATATTTTTTAAGTAAATTGACAATGATTTTTAGCTTTTAGAATTTAGAAACCTTGGCAAAATCATGAAAATGGTAGAATTATTCTCTTATCTTTAACTAGAAATGTCTAAGTTCTAAGAAGAAGTAAGATGTACCTTATCAGTGTCTGTGAACCAGCGGCTAAAAATGAGCATTTTCGGTCTCAATTTATACCTTTTTTATGCCTATGAAATTTAATTGATTGTGAATTATAAAGATACATGACTGATTTCAACATGTACTCTAGTACCGTAGTAAAGAAAAAAAAGCTTTGAAATACTTTGCTACTATATTTAGTCTAAAAATGAAGAGTTATTAAAGATGTCGCATTCCATATTTCCTTGAAAAGATAAAAAATAACAGTGCAAAACATTATATTAAGAATAAATTCGGAAAACAAAATGTCATATGAACCATTTACAACAGGACTGTCACTTATTAAGATTAAGAAAAATCACCCCTTCTTCGTGCATCTGATGTATTTCCTTCAAAAACCATTACTTCCTCTCTACAACATGTACAATCCGCCGCAACTGTGACCAGTGAATTTATCAACTTGTCGTAGTCTACGGCAATTTTTTGTCGGTGTCGTACATCTGCGACAATGTCGTACGACCGTTTTATGAAATGTGTCGGTGAATTGGGGTTTCCACGATGTCGTAGTCTTTGTCGTAGACAAAAATTCACGCGTGACACAGTCTAGTCAGTGCGCACTTTCACGTCACACCTGTCAAACGAAAACAATATAAAGTAAACAATTCAGCATGGACATGATAAACTTGTAGGCCAAATGTTATGCTCCGGAAACCAAATCGCTAGACGGACGGAAAGACGGACAGACAGACGGACGCAAGGGGTTTAACATAATATTCCCTTTCGGGCATATAAAAACTTAAAAAAACATGTAAATGGTCATTCTTATAAATAATTATAGGAGACTTTATGTATGTTGTTACAAACATGTTACAAGTATCATAATATACAATCCACATCCGAATAATGACTCTACATTAAAAAATCTCCACATTTCAGACATTAATTATAAAACCTAGCACATAATGGTATTTTACATAGTCATATATCAGCTTTGATCAGATCAAAGATGAGCAGTCCAGTAAAATAAAATAAAATACATATCAGATATTGTTTGATAGATTATATTCGCCAGAATGTTTTCAATACATTTCTTAAAATTCTACAAGAGAATATATCCATATACTTCATTAAAAATGCCAAAATTCTAGCAGTTCATCGTCGAACGAAAAACATGAGAGATCTATTAATCAAGTCAGATCTAAACTGCAAGAAACTAACACAGGGAAGCGACGTATTCAAAAAGAATTGTTTAGCTTGTAAATTCATGAAAAACTCGATTGAGATTAAATGCACAACAACGTCCGAGATATTTGAAATTCAAGGGCATTTTGCATGTAAAACTCCGAGCATTGTATACTATATAACGTGCAAAAAATGTTACATTCAGTACGTTGGTCAGACGGGCAACACTATCAAAGAAAGACGCTATGGTCATATGGCGGATATTCGCGCGAAAAACAAATTTAAGCCAATTGCGTGCCATTTCGGCACAGAACACGACGTCACGAACATCACGATTACGATATAACAAAATACGGAGCGCAATCAAAACAAAATGTAACGAACTGAAGAACTATGGATAAAAAAGCTCAACACAAAAACATCAGACGGACTAAATTTGATTTAAAAGATACATTGTATGCAAAGAAATTAGAAGATTACTCAGAAAAAGAATAGGAACAACTGAATTTTATAGACATCATCCACATATGTAATACATGCAAACAAGTTGTAAATTCAGCAAAAAAAACTAAACTAAGAAGACACATGAAAAAACATGAACAGGCAACATAAAAATTTAGATGTGATTGGTGTCAGAAACTTTTAGCAAGGAGAGACTCATTCAAACGTTATTCGAGAAGTGTCCATTTTCTACGTGAGGAATATTTCATATGGTAAAAGTTTTAAAATCCACGACTTTACCAAAAGACCCTCCCAAAAAGATGACTATTCTCATGAAACCAACTTTCAAAACCATTCAAGGCAAGACCGGACAATTAGACTTAAAAAAGAAGAAAACTCACAAACTACCAAAGATAGAAGATTTAAACGTTAACATTTCCAGACCAGTATCACCGTTAAGCTCAATACCACGAACAGAAGAATATCAATATCTTCAAACAGACAGCACCAAATCACCAATTAATAGCACATCATCATCAACAATTTGCGAAGATAATAATGTATAATCGTGAAATGAACTGATCATCAACGTTTACAGTAAATATGGTATTTTCCAAACAACATTTTAAAAAAGACTAAGAAACTTGACACGCTTCCATAATTTTCCTGGCAACTTTCCAAAACTCTATCTATTTTAAGAAAACTTTATTACTTTTGTTAATATTTTTATATATCACGTGACTTACCATCTTACACAATTTTTATACTTTTAGCTAGATTTATTTTTTGTAAATTTTATCCTGATGAAGGACCAGATAGGTTCGAAACCGGTAGATCATTATTAAAATTTTGTTCACATTTATCCGGTGTTGACGTGTGGATTCTTTGAATTCTTCCTTTTTATCCAGTTTGTTTCTATTTTTCTCATTTAATATGCAATATAATTTATGCTATATTCAGATGAAAGTAATTCATCACAAGTTCAAAGTAAAAGTAGAACAGGTTAGTTTATATTTTGTGGTAACTGCATTTTAGCTGTATTCTTAAAAAGGGGGAGCATTTGTCATAACCTTTTACAGACTTATAATAAGTAATGTGCTGTCTAGTGACAGATCTTGCATTTATATTCAGTTTCATTACATCTGTTATTATTACTATTAATAACATTTTGGTATGTCATCAGCAGTTTCCTTTCTTTACTTCTGTGTGAAGTTGTCTGCTCTGTCATTAAATTATGTATTATGAACATATAACTTAGGTGTATTTTGAGAAGTTAAAACAATTTGTAATCTAAAATTAGTCATATAGATATAGAAATTAGTAAATAAGTTTTCTTTTTTTTTTTTGATATAATAATAACAATTGCTAATTGTCTATAAGCTATCATCATTAATTTTAGATCCAGAAACAGTATTGGAAATTGGCAATGAAGCAACTGAAGGTATGTACCAAAATTTTAAGTGGCTACTTGACTTCTCTAACTGTTTAAAGAATGTAATAGATTATAGTATTGAGGGAAACAATCAAAGGGGAATAAAATTAAATGTGTTTTTAGTAATTTTTTGTTTGCATTTTGTCTTTTAAATGTATTAAATGCATTTGAGACTTAACAAAAATCAGAGTTGCTGCACTTTATACATCTATCCCACATAAAGCCAGCATTAAAGCATTAAAAGAAGCACTTAATAAACGCCACATACAATAACCTAAAACTTGGATTATTTTACGACTCATGTTATTTGTGTTAAGAAAAACTTGTTTCAAATTCAACGAACAATTTTACGAACAAATATCAGGCACTACCATGGGAACCAAATGCGCACCCAGCTATGCAATCATCTTTATGGCACATTTTGAATCAAGATTTCTACTTACCCAAAAAGTCAAACCTTTGATATGGTGGAGATATATAGACGATATTTTTATGATTTGGCCGCACAGCAGACAGGAATTGTATTCCTTCATGGCCGCTTTAAACAGTTTCAGCCCGGCAATCAAATTTACACATGATGAAGACCTCAGGTCAGCACATTTTCTAGATGTACACATAACAAAAGACGATGCAGGAAGACTACATACCAGCGTGTATACAAAACCTACCGATGCACACATGTATTTATATTATACTTCCTTCCATCCTGAACACCAAATGAGAAGCATTCCATACAGTCAAGCCGTAAGAATACGCCGTATATGTAGCAATGACCTATCTTATGATGAATGCACTAATTGTCTCTACGAAAACCTAAGATATAGAGGTTACCCTTCCAGTCTCATACGTGATGCAATAAATAAGGCTAAAAAACTCAATAGACTTTAACTCCTTTCTAAACAACAAAAGAACACGGAATCAAAAATGTTAACCACTTCATAACAACATATAACCCCTATGTTCCAGATATACAAAATATCCTCAACAATTATTTAAAATTATTAACAAATAACACATCGCGTTTCATAATTAATTCCAAAATCATTGCTGTTCACCGAAAAACTAGAAATATTAAGAATAATCTTGTCAAAACAGACTTAAATCCACAACATGAAGTAAACGGAAGTTATCCCTGCAAACAGAACTGTATAACGTGCAGATACGTCTCAGAAGAAACACACATAACGAGTACAACTACAAAACAAACCTATAAGA